AATTGAAATGTTGAATGCAGGACCGAGGGGGGAGACACAGGGATCAAGTACTTTGGGAGGGGGGGATAACAACAAATAAAACAATGCGCTTTCTGGAAAATGACTCAAACTAAACTGTGGGAAAAAACGCCAAAACAAAACCTAGAAATTCCAAACCAAGAAACCAGACAAAGAGACAAGAACCTGAGGCCCAAACCATGGAGGACGTGTTATAGACATGACAAAACAACAGCAAAAAACCTCCATGCCTGACATAAGATTACCAATACCATAGTTAATTAACTATATTAACACTCTGGAGTGTTTAATACATCAGCAGGGATCTTATAGGTAGCGATTTTTAGATATTTGTCTTCAAAATGGCGATTGAACTTTGGGTGTCAGCTCTCGTTTCTTCTCGTCTTCTAGATCATGGACATGGAGGGCTGGGTGCTGCTGGGAGCAGACAGGCAGGAAGTGCCCGTGGCCTTGTACCCGGGTCAGGACCTCGTGGAGGCGGACCTCAGCGACGTGCCCGACGTTTACCAGGACCTCCACTGGCACGCACCCAAGGCTTACCTAGGAGACAAGGTGGGGGGACGAAGGACTAGATAAAGACCACTGACTTGGTCTGTTAGGGCCCCACGGGGTGTCATTTTAACTAGAGAATGAATGGAAAGAGTGTTTCTTGTGCTGGTTAAAAAGAATAGTTCATATATTTAACAGGAATTAGCCTGAAAAACACGAAAAATATATGTATTCACGGTCCAATTTCTTAAAATCGTATATGGTTGTGTCATAAACCGGAGCACGATGGCTAATATTGTTGAAGTCCGTTCAAAAGTTCCATGAGAGATGATTCCTCTCCCGTTCTAGACCTGTTTGGATGCGGATCAGTGTTTTGTCTGGGTGTCTTCCTCAGCAGCTTTTAATGTGGGCCTCCACCGGTATGCGGGTCGGATTTAAACCCCCGGCCTCGATCCTGTTATTTGTCATGAGTCAGCTTCAGATTTCAACAGGCCGATACCTGCACGCTTTCCTTAGATCTCAGAGTATTTCAGCATTCTGAGAAGAAGAAGATAAAAAGCCTGGCTTCTCTTTGGAAGTGTAGTGAGACTGTAAACTCTAACGATTCGGATTGGGTTCAACTTTTACTGTCAATGCTCATTTTCTCAAAGCTTCCTTTGTTAATAGCCGCGGATACTTAACTAAACGTTCATAAATGTTCTTCCAGGTTTCGTCCTATGGAGGTTATCTTAGATATCGTCTTCAAACTCAAACCATGAGAGGCGACGCGCTGTCCCTGCCGGCGGAAGCTTCTAGACCCGACATCATTCTGAAGGCGAGAAAAACACCCGACAATACACAAACTACATGCTACAGGATGGTTACCGTGGAGATTCCAGTATCTGGACACAACTAAACGGCCTCTGTTTTTGTCTCACAGGGAAACCAGATGACTCTGGTGTTCATGGAGAGGGAATACTCCTCACCAGAAGAGCCTCACCTGGGGATAGTTCACCTAGTCGAGGTACACTTATCCTCATAGAAATGTTCTAAAGCCACCAAATGAAATGAAATTTTTGTTGTCCATACCGAGAGAGTTGATGGAATTTTCTTTTTCAAAAATGGATCAAAGTCAGTCTGATCTTTAAAAATGCACATATGATGAATGCACTAAATGATAAATGCTTTATATAAAGCTTAAACCATGTTTATATTCGGGTTGTGATCACTGGTAAACAACAGGAGACGTTGTGAATGTGGTATTATTTGTTTCACTGAGGCCTGCCTGCAGGATTTTAGTATTTTGGATCTGCTCTCTCATACTAAATGGATAGGAAGAAGCTCTTTTCATGCAGTGGGAAAAACCTGCCCTGGTTAAGCTGCCTTGTCTCTCGAAGAAACCCCTTCCTGCCCCTTTAGAGCTTTTTCGCACAAAAACTAAAACACAGTCAGCATTGCCTTTAAATGGCCTTTGTAAGACAAAATTCCCCTTTGTATGAACTTTGCATGAATTTTGAATTTTTCTAAATTTTTCCGGGTTATTTTCATCTCGATTTAATTTTGTTGGGTTGTTTTTATTGTGGTTTTTCTTCTGCAACAATGCCAATTATACTTCCAGCCCCCCAGTTTATTGATGTCCCTTGTAATAGCTCACAAATCAAATCAAACTTTATTTTTATAGCACTTTTCATACATAAGCTGCATTTAGTGCTTTAAATAAGTTTTAAAAATAACTGTAAAATAGAGCTTAAAGCTGTAAGAACTATAAAAGTCAATCTGAATAAATAAATAGAGCAAAACAAGCTAAATCAATTAATAAGATAAAATAAGATTCAGCTATAAGATAGACTAAAAAGGTATGTCTTAATCAATTTTTTCTAAACAAACATCATCTGCAGCCCTCTGCAGTCATACAGAGAGAAATGATTGAATATTAATGAAATGTGATTAAAAAGTAGTCCAGAACCCCCATTGTGGTTTGTGCTGGCTCCATCTCTGTAAAGTAGTCTTTGCTCTTTATTTAACGTGGTCATCAACGCCCACCCTTTCGTTGTGGGGGGGGTCTCCGTCATCCCTCTGACCCCTGTCCTCCTCTCTTTTTTTCCCACAGGGGAGTTTCCGTCACGCCCAGACGGGGAACTCGGTGTCCCGGGAGGAGCTGATGATGGTTCTGGTGAGCCTGGAGTCCCTGCAGATCCGGGCCCTCCACTCCCAGTCGGCCCACTCCGTGTCGCTGCGGGGGGCCGTGCTGGAGGGGGCCCAAAGCCTGACCACCGGGCTCCACGCCAACAACGTGGAAATCTGCATGTGTCCGGCCAATTATCTTGGAGACTCGTGCCAGGTGGGGTTTCCTATTGGCTGATGAGCGGAAATCTTTGCTTAATTCATATAAGGGAATCTCCTAAATGTTTAGATTTCCTACATATCCGATGCAGGAACCCATTCCAGGAACCAGAGTGGGTCTTTTTCTAGCCCTTTTATGTATTGGCCATCAGAGTAAGAGGCCGGAAGGCTCCAGATAGGAAGATGTGGTCATTTTTTTGTGCAACACCGGTTTTTTAGAGAGTAAAATGTTTCTGGTTGGTCCAGTTTTCCCACCGTTTGACCACTACCTAGCATAGTCTGTCATAGTTCTAGATAGATAGATAGATAGATAGATAGATAGATAGATAGATAGATAGATAGATAGATAGATAGATAGATAGATAGATAGATAATTTATTGATCCCCAAGGGGAAATTCAAGGAAATTCAAGATCCTTAAGACAGTTCTGTCTTTTTTAAGAATTTAACCCTTTAAAGCCCGATCCAAGAATAAAACAAAACAGAAAATCACTTTTTTTTGGTTTTAAGTCTTTACTTGGCCTTTTAACAAAATATGTAAAAAGAAAAAACAGAAATACATTTTTTATATTAATAATTTATTACTATGCCACAAGTCAAGAATATTTTTTGTGTAGTCTTCTGCCCCCTGTTATCAGGTGTATCTGATTGTGTACAATAGGATTTTGAGCAAAGTTTTTACCATTAAATTATGCAAAAGGTGTCAGACGCCAAACATTTCAGAAACCGTTTGAATCAGATATGACACATTTGGCATCACAGGGTTAAGACCACTTTAATGTGATGGTGCTCATTAATAAAGAGTGAATACATTTTAGAAAATGACGATGTTCCCTTCTCAGAAATGTGCTCCAGGTTACTACAGAGACACCATCGGCCTGTTTCTGGGGAAGTGCGTTCCCTGTAACTGTAACGGTCACTCGGACCAGTGTCTGGACGGATCTGGGATCTGTGTGGTGAGGACTTTTAAAAAACACAAACGTCCCAAATCGGATCCCTTCATCTTCTCGCGATTAATCGATCGGTCTGTGGCGTTTTTCCTTCCAGAGCTGCCAGCACAACACGGCCGGCAGCCACTGCGAGCGGTGCAGAGGCGGGTTCTTTGGGAACAACAGCCTGGACGGGCAGGCCGTGTCCTGCTCCGGCTGCCCCTGCCCACTCAGAGCCCCCTCCAACAAGTCAGTGCGCTTTAACCCTCCAAACCCTCCGGCGACGCTTTGATTTTGATTTTTTCGTTTTGCCGATTTAGGCAGAATCGAGACAAATTCCCCGTTTCTGTCTGTGTAGTTTTGCCGAGGGTTGCGTGGAGAGAAACGACAGGATGCAGTGCCTCTGCATGCAGGGCTACGCTGGGCAGAACTGTGAAAGGTAAACAGCCTCATCACCACCGTCCCACCAACCACCAAACGTTCAAATAAAAGCACCAAACCTCATTCTGCCGGTCATATCCAATACATGAGCTGTGTTTTCATCCATTTCAAGCTCTTTTGGCCCAATCTGTCTCTTATATTTGTTTTTTTTAGATACCGTCACAGTTATTTTTAAACATATTTTGGCCTGGGATGCGACCTATACTCCAGATCCATTTATAAATTGAAAATATAACTGTACATTTTCACTTAATTGACCATAATCAAACAATTTGACCAAACAGAGTTGCTCTGGTGTAGCTCCCTGGGTCAGCTTGCTGCCGTAGAGAGGAAGTTTTTCCTTGCCTGTGTCGCCTAGTGCTTGCTCATAGTGGGAATTGTTGGGTTTCTGTAATTAACTTCAGAGTAGGGTCTGACCTGCTCTGTTTGGAAAGCTGTGAGACAACTGTTGTTGTGATGTGGCGCTATATAAATAGAATTGAATAGAATTGAATTGAATCCTACACACTGTTGAATAGGGTAGAGGAGTAAAACAGGAAGTGTTCCCACAACTTTTTACATACGGGTTAAATTGCATCTCCAGCTCAGACTTAATTTGACTGTATGAACTTAATTTATTGCTGTATAAAGAGGTTAAGGTGCATTGGTCTGATGATTCTTAAAGTACTGATATTATGATGGTAATGCTATTGTAACCAAACAGTAAATGCTGATAATAATAGCACATATAGCATATAATACAGTGATATCTAATAATAATATTAACAATAATGTAGTATCTGTTGTATAGGTATAAATAGATATGATATATTTGATTAATAGATATGATATATTATATCAATACAGATCATATTAACACATATGATATGAATTCAATTCAATTTTCAATTCAATTCAATTCAATTCAATGAACAAAGTGTTGTACACATAGTGTGCACAGTTCAAAGGTGACAGGTATGTGTATGTATATATATGAATATTTGAAAGTCCATGCGATTTATTATTATACTTATTTCTGGTTTATTTTTCTTCATAATGGACACAGTGGCTGGTTCCACTTCTAGTCCGGACAGTACTTTAATGACTGATGTCCACTTGCAGCATGGGGATGGTCACACTGAGCTTGTCCTCGTTCCGCAGGTGCGCCCCCGGTTTCTACGGCAACCCCATGATCCTGGGCAGCAGGTGCCAGCCGTGCGACTGCCACGGCAACACCGACCCCAACATGCTGTTCACCGACTGCCACCCGCTGACCGGCCGCTGCCAGGGCTGCATGCACAACACCGCCGGGGAGCGCTGCCAGACCTGCGCCCCCGGTTACTACGGCGACGCCGTCCTCGCCAAAAACTGCACCGGTGAGTCGAGTCAGACCAGCTTCCACCGTCTCAGCCCCAGAGTTATGGAGCTGAAACTAGACTCAGACACTTACAGAAAAGGGGTTTGGTGTTAGGAATGGAACTCAAGGCAGGACTCAGATGCAGAGATCTTGTCAAAAAGGTTTTAATGGAACCAAAAACGCACTGGAAAGGGAGTGGAAAGGCAAGACAAAGTACAAAATAATAATCGCTCTAGAAAACGAGACAGACAAAGCTATGAACAAAGTATCAAATAATAATCTCTCAAATGAAGCAGAACAAAACTATGAACAAAGTGCAAAACAAACTCACTCTGAAAAGAGGATCAAAAGTTACAAAGAACAAAATTAAATTCCTTTTACGAAGCATAAACGGGGTTCAAGGTAAAAGGCAATAATTTTCTATGACTGTTATGCTCAGTATGACATGGGACGAAACACACTGGCCCCAGACAAGGAGAGACTTTAAAAAAATAAAAAAGAATTTAAGAAAATAAATAAATAAAATAAATTAATGATAAATAAAAAATAAAAGTAAACAAATAAATCAAAAAATAAATACATTTGTTTAAAAAAAATAAATAAATAAAAATGACAAAATAAAATAAAAATAGATATAAAAGAAAAAGAAAAAAAAATATATATATATATATATGTAAATAATAAAAATAAATACAATTTAAATAAAGACTCAGACTATTTAAACACAAGGGAAGGGAACCCCAGGTGAACACAATTGGTGATCAGGGAAGACAAGCAGTCATGTGACACACAGGGGAGTGCAAGAGGCCTCAAACAAGGGGATGTACTTTTCAAAATAAAACAGGAAATGACAAAACAACCATGGAAACAGGACAAAAACACCCAAAAACTCCCCCAGACGTGACTTTTGCTCTGTTTTGCCGCAGAGTGCAGCTGTTCTCCGTGTGGAACCGAGTCATGTGACCCTCACACCGGTCAGTGCCGCTGTAAGGAGGGAGTGACTGGACCTCGCTGTGACCGCTGCGAAGTAAGTGGAAACTGTTTTTCAGGTCACTTTTTGATCCATCCAAGTGCAGCCAGCAGGCTTCGACCAATTTTCGGCTTCTTAAATCATCCATAATCTCCCCCCCCCCCCTCTTGAGGATGGCTCCTTTGGCTTCGGGTCGTGCTCGGGCTGCCGGCGCTGTGACTGTGACGCCTCGGCCGCTCTGGTCCAGCCCTGCGACCCCCAGAGCGGTCAGTGCGCCTGCCGGCCCGGGGTGAACGGGCCCGGCTGCAGGCAGTGTGCTCCGGGGTTCTGGGACTACGGACCGGACGGATGCAAGCGTGAGTGCCCAGGAGACCACGCCCACCTCACATCAGAGCTGTGACCAACATATTTTACCACATCACTACTTTTCTCAGTTTTGGAATCAGATAACTTTAATATCATGGAATGGATTTAGTCCATATCTAAGGTTCTTGGAGCATTTTTAAAGGAACAGAACGGCTTGTTTAGGAACAAACTGTATGCAGGGAGTTGCTTTTTTTCAGGCAGGTATGTTTTATTTCTTTAACTTTAGTCAGATTAGCATTCAGTGCTAGAAATCAAGTTCTGCTCCAAAAAAAAGCCTGTTCAGGTCAATTTTATTTATGTGGTACAAACGCAACAAAAGTCATCTGTCATCCGATACACTCCAGTTCAACCCAGTTAGAATCCCTGTTTCGATCATAATCCAGTTTAGATTAATTTAGTATTGGTCTAAATTGGGCCATCCAAGAAATTTAAGTGACAGTTTGTGTCTTTTTTGTTTAAGTACAGAATGATATTTGAAGAAATAGAATGAGAATGGTTATTGTTTTGGGGTTTATTAGGACTGCAATAAACTTTTCTGGAATTATATATATGGAGGGCAGGGGTGCATCTTTACCATATAATTGCTGTACTGAAGTACTGGTAGCGTATAAATCAGCCTCAGTTGGAGAAATTCACATCCCTACAGATCACATCATGCCTGTGATTCACCAGAAAAGCCTCCAGATGAAGATTTTGCGGTACATTGTAGTGTAGAAATCCATGTGGGCAAAATTGTGGTAATGCTTAATACTCTGAATAACAGTTTTTTTATTAGTTCATTTTGTTCCCTGGTGCCCATTGATATGTTTCAAGATTGAAATATCGGGATCATTTAGCTAAAATGTGTAACATAGGTTTTTCAAGGAGCTAAAAACAACCCTGAGAGAATATTTTCAACAGAAAAACTCTCCCTTCATAAGCAGAGCCCCAAATTTTCACGATAGATCTTCAGGGAAATGACAGTTATGCAAATCCGAAGTTAAAAAAAGTACTTTACATATATGAATGTGCAGTATTTGTTTCATGATGTTCTAGGTTATAGTGATTATTCTGACTAAATAGCAGATATCTACTAGACTATATGTTGAATTCTCATCAGTGCAAAGGATTGTGGGTAAAGATTCAGGGTGAATCGGTCTGCAATGACCCACAGATGCTCCTCCTTGGATTTATGTAATTCCATAAAGTACATGTCTGCTCCTTGTAGCTGTGTAATCTAAGTTCTAGTCAAATGTTAAACCTTTATGTTAAATCCTCTTCTAGCATTTTTGCACTCAAGCAAAGCCAAGTGTGGAACTGGTGTTCTGGCTGAATGTTGAGCCCTCTTTTTGGAAGCGTCTGTGGATTGTTATGGAAAAATTTCTTTAAAAGAGTGAGGCAAAGTTTCCTAATAATTAGAGAAGATCGATCTTGTCCAATAAAGAGATTTATTCGAAGGCAAGAGCGTTTGAAGACGCAAGTCACAGAGTAAAACCCGAATGAGTGCGCGCCGATGGAAAGGCACGTCCCCTTTTATAACATCAAATGGATAAAGGAATGGAAAAAGGCAAATGTTTTTCTCATCAGCAACAAACAAAGAGATTCTGATTTACATTAATCCCATGGAGAATCTCCAAAGGGACAGAGCTATGCATATTCTCAGGAGACAGGAAGGGGCCCCTATGTGGATTGGTCAAAAAGAGAATCTTCTCAGGTGTGAGGATAGCACAAAAGGCGAGTCGTACAATTTCAATGATAAACACTAGAATGGGAGATTCATATTTGATGGGATAAGGAAATTGTTGCATTTCCTACTGGTGCTAAAACCACAAGCTAGGCGTACCTAGAGGAATTAACATCAGGTTGTCATGTGGGATGGTTCTTGGAGGGAGGACTCAGGTGCGGAGATGAGGGAAAACAAGGTTTATTGCAAAAAAAGGAAGTCCAGACCAAATACACAAACACGGCTGTGGCAAACTATGAGCAAAGGCAAAGTAACAAAGTAAAGAACAACAAGACTGAGGCAAACAACTACGGCTGTGACAAAGTAACAAAATAACGATTAACACAAAACTGTGGCAAAACTGTGACTATGACAAAAAACGAACCTGGAGACGAAAACGCACTCGCGCCAGACAAGGGGAAGCGAGGACTATTTAAACACGCGAGGGAGGGGAACCCCAGGTGTACACAATAGGTAATCAAGACGAGACGAGACACCAGACGTGACACAGGTAGACTCAACGAAGAAAAATCTCCACGACAGGATAAAAGCGTCCGCTCCTTGGACTGTACATGTAAATGTAAATGTGTTGTCCAGGGTGCGACTGCAGAGGTGGACGGTGCGACCCCCGGACGGGGGAGTGCCGCTGCCCCGACGGCATGGCGGGGAGGCAGTGCGACACCTGCGTGCACAAGCACAGCGTCCCGGTGGAGGACCAGCACGGCCTGCACTGCCAACGTGAGCCAAAACCAGACACTGACCGGGCCCCGGTCCAGTGGGAGTCCTCCTATAGCAGTGTTTTTCAACCCCTGTGCCTCGGTACACTAGTGTGGCGCGAGTGATGGTCAGGTGTGCCGTAGAAAATCATCCTATTTCACCTAATTGGTCTAAAAAGATTTTTTGATAAGGAATTATTTATCTGTAAATATCTTTGCCATTTTTTAGTGTCTGTGCTGTTCTAGTGACTAGTGGAGTAATCATGTAATAATTCCTCATGACTAGATTTTGTATATAATTTTGTATATTGAAGTGGACATGTTGAGTGCAATTTGAAAGAAGAAATATGAAAATACGCTAAAAAAAATACATTTTTGTGTTTATTTGATTCCTATTCAAGACACTTAAGATAGGAATAAGATAAGAATAACTATAGTGTTACTATAGGCGGCTACAGATTTGTGTAACATTTTCGGTTGGTGGTGTGCCTCGAGATTTTTTCAATGAAAAACTGTACCTTGGCTCAAAAAAGGTTGAAAAACACTGTCCTATAGGCCCGGTGGTGGAGGGGTGGAGAGGTGACTAACGTCTTGTCCTGTCCTGTCCTGTCCTGTCCCCCCCCCCCTAGCTTGCGACAGCTGCGTGATCGTCCTGCTGGAGGATCTGGACAGGCTGGGTGCTAACTTCAGCGCGGTGGCCGAACGGCTGGGGGGGCTGAACGCCAGCGCCATGGCCTGGACCCAGCTGCACAAGCTCAACGCCTCCATAGCCGACATTTCTGTGAGTGCCCACTCCCCCCTCAGCCACTCACCACTGACCGATCCACAAGGGACTTTAAAAACAAACCAAAAAAAAAAAAAAAAAAAGGGATTTTAACGCCTCTCTTAGCTCTGATTTAGCTTTTTATTGTTAAAACATAAACACATTTTCAACTTGATTATTTCCTACAAAGGGATAAATCCAAATCCAATAATAATAGCTCATTACAGGTCATGTGACAGTGTTTACCTGTCTCCATATTGTGAGGTTTCATGGACAAGAACGAGAAAGAATAAAGAAGATATTGTGTGTTCCGGGATACTAAGTGGCCCTGTCCCAGTTTTTTAATGTCCAGTTAGACTCCCAAACAGAGCACTGTGAGCTAACAAAAAGCCAGGTCCCCATTTTAGGAACGATTTTCCCTCTAATGCCAACAATGGGGATCAGTGAAAACAAGATAAATTAAGATAAATGGTCGTTCCAAATCTTTTAGCGTCAGTTAGAATTGTGTCATTAGTCTGTAACTCCAGGTATAAAGAAAAAGCTCACTTACTTTCACACTTAACAGGGCAGAAAAGGATTCTCCAATAGGTCCCAGTGTTGTTATAAGCTGGTAACAAATCAACTGGCCGATACTTCATGTGTTTGTTTGAATATACCAGTGTAAGGACATTTTCTGTTGAATTAAAACAAAAAACTAATGGCCTCCTCTTTCCCTGACCGCAGAGCGCCATAGAGAAGTATAACAGCTCGCTGGACGACAGCCGGGCCCGGGCCGACACTCTGGACGCTGAGATAGTGACCATCGATGATGATATTGATGAACTTGAGAAGAAGGTGAGGACACACACATTACTGGGTCGGGTTTTTTTTCTGACGTCATTTCAAGACTGCATCTGTTTCTATTAGAGCTTATAATAGTCCCATAGTATTAAAGGTACATCAGAATGTACGTTTGTTTTTGTGAATAACTTATTTATTTGTTGGATTAGGTTAAAAATAATCATAGTAAAGCAAAAAAAAAAAGTTTTTTGTTTTTGTTTAGTTTTTTTGTAGCCCGTAGTACCAGATATTTCACTGCATGCTGTATATTGTTGTTTTTTTTGTTTGTTTGTTAGTTTTTTTGCAGCACATAACTTATATTTCATTAGATGCTGTATATTGTTGTTTTTTTGTTTTTGTTTTGTTTTTTTGTAGCCCGTAGTACCAGATATTTCACTGCATGCTGTATATTATTGGTTTTTTTTTGTTTGTTTGTTTTTTTTGCAGCACATAATAACCGATATTTCATTAAATGCTGTATACTGTTGTTTTTTTGTTTTTATTTTTGTTTTTTTTGTTATTTTTGCAGCTCATAATAACTCACATTTCATTACATGCAGTATACTGTTGTTGTTTTTTTTTTGTTTTTTTTGTAGAACATAATTACTGACATTTCATTAAATGCTGTATACTGTTTTTTTTTTTTTTTTTTTTTTCATTTTTTTTTTTTTTTTCACAGCTCATAATTACTGCCATTTCACTACATGCTGTATACTGTTTTTTTTCTTTTTTATTTCTTTTTTTTGTTGTTTTTTTGCAGCTCATAATACCAGATATTTCATTACATGCTATGTGCTGTTCTTTTTTCTCAGGTGGAAGCAATGATGGACAGCGTTGATGGCCTAGAGGGGAGTACCACAAAGACATACCAGCGGGCAGAAGATCTGCTGTCCTTTGTTGACAACATGACTGCAGATATAAACAGTAAGAAACCCACCAGGGAGCCAATCAACAGAGAGCCTTTTCAATTCTGTTTAATCAGAATACAAAAAAATCTCTAAACATGTAGCTGTAACTCTAAAAACGCTGTTTTTGGGACGGACCGGTTTGAATAACGCGGCGTCCGATGACCCTTGCTTGGTTTTTTTTTGTTTGCTTTTTTTACCACAGGCATCGTTCTGATGTCGAACCGGTCCGTGAACGACTCCGACGGGGAGCAGGACGTGGAGGATCGGGAAAAGAAGACGAGGGAGGTGCAGGCCATGCTGCGAGAGATGAGGTTCCGGAGCTGTGCGCGGCAGAAGAAGGTGGCCGAGAGAGAGCGGGCCGAGGCAGAGAAACGTAAGAAAACGAAATGTTGGCTCCATTTCGGTTTGTCGGCCATGTTTATTCCACAAAGGGGGCTGGACTGGAAGTTAATTTCTCCTTGGAGATCAACAAAGTATCCAATCAAATCAATCAAAGCGAGTGTTCCTGCAAACCTGGTGGTCAAATAACTGTTAGAACTGTTTCAAATCTAAAACAGTGTTTTTCAACCTTTTTTGAGCCAAGGTACATTTTTTCATTGAAAAAATCACGAGGCACACCAACCAAAAATGTCAAACAAATCTGTAGCCGCCTATAGTAACACTATACTTATTCTTATCTTATCTTAAGTGTCTTGAATAGGAATCAAATAAACACAAAAATGTATTTTTATCATATTTTATATTTCTTCTTTCAAATTGCTCTTAACATGTCCACTTCAATATATGATATTATATACAAAATCTAGTCATAAGGAATTATTACATGATTACTCCACCAGTCACTAGTACAGCACAGACACTCAAAAATTATTTGCAGATAATTAATTCCTTATCAAAAATTCTTTTTTGACCAATTAGGTGAAATAGGATGATTTTCTACGGCACACCTGACCATCACTCAAACACAGTGGTTGAAAAACACTGATCTAAAAGATCCATCCATCCATGTATTTTCTCAGCCACTTATTCCCAAATGGGGGGGGAATAAAAGAGATATCCAGGCATAGTCTGTAGTTAAGTGTTGGCATCCCAGTAGAGGCTGGATGCTACTTTGCGTTTCCTCCATGGAGACTTTCCTTCGGCGGTTTGAATACTAAAGGTCAGATCTCAGAAGGAAGTTTTTCCTCGCCTGTGTCGCCTAGTGCTTGTTCATGCTGGGAATTGTTGGGTTTCTGTAGTTAACTTCAGAGTAGGGTCTGAGCTGCTCTGTTTGGAAAGTGCCGTGAGACAACTGTTGAACTGAATTACAGATAGAGATGGAAAATATAATCTAAGAGGAAAATTCAATTTCAAAACTAAGTGTGTTCGAACAACAAAAAGAACCTTCAGTTTATCAGTTAGTGGAGTGAAGCTCTGGAACAGCTTGCCTGAAAACATTAAACATTGTAATAGCATCCAGCAATTCAAAAAACAATATAAGAAAAGTATTTTTGACGAATACAAAAAAGAATAATACACAAAAAGTTATACTGTTTGTCTTACTGTAATCGTCCTTTACCACCACGACTCATGTTACTGAGGGGTGGGGCTTAATAAGCTTATGCTTCATCCTACTGATTTTTTAAACATGCTGCATGTTTAGGAAGCATTCTATGTAAACATTGTAAAATCAAGTCATGTTTCAAAATAAACGAAATGAATGAAGGAATGAATTGAATTGAATCTCCCGACTGAGTGATGTCATCGTCTTTCCCCCCCCCCCCCCCCCTCCCCATCAGTGTTGGAGCGCGTGAGGCAGGAGCTGGCGGGCGGTCAGGAGGAGAACGAGGCCTCGGCCCGGGCCCTGGCCGAGCGGCTGGCCCGCTTCGGCCTGGAGGCCTCGGACCTCCGGGAGGCGCTGGACGAGGCGGAGAACAGGACGGCGCTGACCAGGGCGCTCAACGCGGCCGGCCGGGACCGGCTCGGGGACGTGCAGGTGCGTGAGGGGGGGGGGGGGGGGGGGGGGGGGGGGGGGGGAGGGTAACGGCTCTTTTTCCCCCCCCCCCCGTTAGAGGACGGTGGAGGACCTGCTGCTGGGGCAGGGCGAGGTCAACGGGCTGCTGGCCGAGGCTGGAGA